TATGAGTGGTTTTTAGGTAGTTCCTCAAGCACTGTTTGGTGGTTTAGCCTTGCGTTTGTGTGCATGTTTAGTGTACACCGTTTATTCACACATGCATAGATGACTTATTCTGCACGTATATGTACATGTTTTTAAGAACGCTGGCAAAAACTGCAGCATGTCCCACTGGCGATGTTTTTGATAATTACTGCATGAGTTTGCGCATGTAGCCCATTTCTTCTTGATGTTTCAATAACATCAAATTTGGCTGAAAAACAGCACACACAGGAAAAAGCATCTTGAATGCCGCACGTGATGACAGCCCTTTGTTGTCATGGTGATCTTGCCAGACCTTTAATTTGTTTTGTGTCTCTCAGGCAGATTGAATTGCATGAAAGTATGTTGGCTGTAACCTTCGGGCTGCCAGACCTCCCCTCACTTACCGCTGTGTGTCCTAATTAAGCTTTGTTTTACACACTGACTGCCAGCGTGAACGGCCGGCTGGATTGTTTGGGATACGGAGTCCAAATTCTGGCATGCGCAGGGAATGTGTTTTTAAAAGACGTCTAGACTGATTTGCGCTGTGTTTTATCATACACTGCAGGCATCCCTGGGCTTATTGATTTACTGGACTGGGCTTCAGTATAATGAAAACTGTGAGGAATATTTTCATGACATGCATGCTTCGTGCCGTGCATTAAATGGCTCATTTTAAGCTTGTTGCTTCTGAAGGTTTCATACATTCAGGTTCACCTTTCAACCATTGTCGTAATCATTTATGAATATGAAATTACGGTAATACTACACTTAAAGCCTGATTAAATAATGCAATATCAAGGCAAGGAAAATGTATTTATGTAGCACATTTAATAAACAATTCTAATTCCAATTGCTTTACATAGGCATGATAAAAAAGTTTAAAATAATTTAATATCACATGTTTATTTAAATTAGACTAAGCAAATAAAGAATATGAGAATAAATGAATAAAAAATATAATATCTAAATATAATATATAAATATCGTTAAAAGAAATGAAGAACAAAATATATAGTTATATAACTATATTGTTGTTGTTGTTGTGTGTGTATATCTGTCTATCTATCTATCTATCTATCTATCATTAGTCTCAATAATCTCATTGCTATTTTAGCATTATTTCTATACTATTATAGTATTAATTTTTTTTAATTACTATTTTTGTATTTTTAAGTTTTATTTTTTGCAGTTTTAATTTTAATCTTAGATTATGTTTTAATAATTTGGTTATGGGCTTTTGTCATTTTTATTAGTTTCATGTTTTTATTTTTATATTTTTTTTATAGTTTTATCATTTAAAATGTTTGTCTAATGTTCATTTATTTTTATTTCAGTTTTAGTTTTATTAACAGTAGTATGTTTTAATAATAGTAGTATTTTGACTTAAACTTGTTGCCAAAGCAACATTTCTAAACTTTTTTGTGATTATTTTTTTAAATTTTATTTTATATATTTTTATATATTATTTCAGTTCCATTGCAGAATTCTTTTTAAATATTTTAAGTATTATACATATTTCATATGTATTTAATATTTTAATATTTTTAATAGTTGATATTTTATACATATGTAGTGTATGTATACTTCATCAGTCAAGTATTATATACATGTGTGTATTGTTATTGTTTCTCTAAAACTAAAACAATTAAAATTGAAATGTGAAAATGTGTGTATACACACACACTCTCACACACACACACACACATTTTAATTTTAATTGTTTTAAAACAATACTATGCAAGGAAACAGAAAATAAAACCCAGACTACATTAAATACACATGCAATAGGGATTAACAACATTTGCAACAAGGTGCCGACCATCTTTTTTTTTT